AATATATTTCTTTAGATTCAGAAGGGAAAGAGGGGTCCTCACATTGCACTATCCAATTAATTAACGAGGAGTCTGAATAATTGTTAGATATATTTAATCAAGGGTCAAAACATGTATTTCGTAACATGTTTAACCTCAGTTCATTATTTGCTAATATTTTGTTTAATTATTGAGGTCTGGACCCTCAAAGCCAGTAAAGACTAGTAGAACACCTGATTTTATTTTTCAAAAAATAAATCAATTTATATATATATATATATATACATACATGCATATATATATATACATACATACATGCATATATATATATATACATACATGCATATATATATATATACACACAAACAGATACAACATACATACATACATACATACATACATACATACATACATACATACATACATACATACATACATACATACATCAATCAGAGACAATCTCATGAGAGGTGTATGTATTATTGATAAATGGTTGTACCTTACTCTTCTTTTTTCCTTTAGATGTGTATATTTCGAACCAAGTAGCTTCCCCCATTTCCTTTTGGGAACCACGGCCTCAACCATACCTCCACCATATGTGATTGTAATGCAGTTTCTAGCGACGTTGTGCCCTTGTATGGGGACTTTTAACCTTGCGGGTATATTTGCAACTGGTATATGTGATATTGTCACTCCTTGAATAACATTAAATGTATCAAGTATCGAGTCTGATTTTTTAAAGATTTAGTATTCGTTTCACTTTACTTTCACATTGTGAAGTGCGGGGATCAAAATGAGACAGAGTGGGAATATTCCATGACAATTCTTGTTGTTCCCTTGGAAAATCCTCTTTTCTATCTCCCCTTAACGATAGGAAGACTGTCTCTTCAAAATGACAATCCGCAAATCTTGCAGTAAATAGATCACCCGTCAAGGGTTCTAAATAGTGAATAATTGTTGGGGTTTCATATCCAACATATATACTTAATCATCTTTGAGGGCCCATTTTATTGCGTTGTGGGGGAACAATTAGCACGTATACTGCACAACCAAATATGCGTAAATGTGAAATATCAGGCACATATCCAGTTACCAACTGGTACGCATAAAATTGTTGGCTAGAAGTGGGTCTAAAGCAAATAAGTACTGTTGCATGTAATATTGCATAACCCTATGTAGAAATGGGTAAATTGGTGCGCATAACCAATGCCCTGGCTACCATCTGTATCTTTTGATATTAGCTTATGCAATACCATTTTGTGTATACACACGGGCTACGGAATGCTCTACATCGATCCCTATGGACATGAAATAATCATCAAATGCTTGTGATGTAAAATCTCTAGCATTATCAAGTTGTATAGACTTGATAGGATAATCGGGGTAGTGAGCCCTCAAATGCATAATTTGTGCTAGGAGTTTTGAGAATGCAACGTTTCGTGTAGACAATAGTGCGACATGCGTCCATCGTGTCAATACGTCAACTAGAACCATAAAATAATTTAATGGCCCGCATTTTGGATGTTTATGTCCATAAATATCACCTTGTATTCATTGTAAGAATGGAATATTTGTGTATTATGTCCTTAGCTTGTAGGATGGTCTCATTCCTGTCTTGGCTAAGGATCAGGGTTTACAAAAGTTTGTAGGTATTCGAGAGAGCATATTATGATGGTATGTTGCCTTTTGTGTTGTAGAAGTCAACAGTTGCATTTTTGTTAATTACTTCATTTTGCATTTCACTCGAAAGAAAATGTGTTGATGTGTATTTTGCAACACACAGATCATTATGTCATGACCATGGTGTTCCACATGGTCTTATTGAAACATATATGTGTCATTGTCCCAAAGTTCTTTATTGGCGACAAAATATGTTCAATATAATTAGGATAATCATTGAGTTCTAACAAAATATTTAATTATTATTTTTATAAAAAATTATGTTATTAAATCAAATATAAATTACTTCGTTATTAAACCTAAAAATGATATTATTAAATCAAAATACTTAATTATTTTTTTTAGTCTATGTTATTAAATCAAGTATAAAATAGAAATTAAAAATGATTTGATAAACCATCTGAAATTGAAGTAGTATTGAAGTCCAGGAATAGATGTACCCTGTTTCATCAAATATCCCACCAATCTGACTATGACTATTATATTTGTATATAAGAATTTGTATGATTTATTTACTGTTACAACCATCACGTTGTATATAAGAATTTTTATGATTTATTTACTATTACAGCCATCACTTTGTATATAAGAATTTGTATCATTTGTTTACTATTTAAGAAAATAAATAGCCTTCAAATCCTGCTTCCTTTTTCTGCAAGTGCGAGATCTAATGTTTGTATTTCTCTTCAAGTGTAGACGCATCCAGTTTTTTTTTAGATTGATCCAGTCTTCAATGTAAAGCTTGGTCTATGATGAAGACGTTCTTCATTATAGAATCCAAAATGTGGCCATGGATGTAGGTTAACATCCTCTCGTGTTATTGATTGTTATAGAGTCAATATGGTTTTGTTCTGAGTTGGGTTGTGCGTAAATCTTCTTCTATACTTATCATTCTTTCTATGTAAATGTTCTTATTTAATTAAATAACTTATGATTAATGAAAATTTATCGTTTTTATTCTCTCCAATCTATTGTCTCTTTTAACATAATTAAATTATATTGGATTGATGTTGTAACTAGATTATAGTTTGTTTTATTCGATTTGCACTATCATACATTTTTTATTGATGTTGTAATTGGAACAATAGCTTTTATTTATTGAAAAAGTATTAAGTTGCATAGACTAATTACAAATCCTATCTTCACAATGTTTTAAAGTCTACTTAAAAACCACCATGCTTCAAAATCATTTGCATTCATTGTTTCCGCCGCATTGCGCGGGTATACAACTAGTATTATATTATAATCATTTGAAAAAAAACTCTTAAAAACCATTTTTATGCATGAAATATTGTTTATTGAAGCATGTTACTTAAAAATCAAGATTACAAGTAAATTTTGTGTAAGTACAACTTATTAAAACTTCATATTTGAATTCGTGTAACTAACTGCAGATAAACATAATCAAATAGAGAATAAACATCTCATTTTAAATATAAAAAATTTAAAATATAATTAGGATAATCATTGAGTTCTAACAAAATACTTAATTATTATTTTTATAAAAAAAATTATATTATTAAACTAAAAAAATTGAATTAAAAAAATACACAAAAAAAAGAGAAATTTTAAAGTCATTTTGATACTAATATCAATATATATTTTTTAATTTTTTACAATATCGACCAACACAAAAAAATAAAACATTAAAATTGAGATGTATCTCGCTGCATTGTGCAACTAACCTTCTAGTTTATATTAAAAATATTCTTTTACTATTTATATAATTAAAGCTTTTAGTAAATTACATTAATAAAATTAAAAAGAAGCTGGATAACCTCATGTATTTGGCCACCCATATTATTTATTTATTTAATTTCTAATTCATATAACACCATATGTTATATGAAGGGGGTTGATATTGATACCTCCGTGACTCCTTTCTACCCCTGGCATATGTCCCCCCCTCACATACGCCATCCCTCCCTCACACACCGCTCTTCTCACACACACTCACACACGATTCACTTTTTCTTAATTTTAAAAATTTAAATTTACACTTTATACCCCTATAATTAGTTAATTAATTTACTTTATATCTTTCACTTTTAAATTTTTCATTTTATACTCTGATCAAATTAACATACATAATCGTATATCAATTAAAAATATGTTTAAAAAATACGTTTTAATTTTAATAATTTACACCATTATAATTGTCGCGTTAATGCCTTCGAAATGAGTCCAATATTGAATATTTTTTGACTTAATTATATTATTATGTATTATATACTATGAAAAAATATTTTTAATATTTACATTTATAGTTATTTATATGATGTCATTTGTTTTTTCAATTTTCGTTTTACATTGTTATCAAATTAAAATACATAATTTTATATTAACTAAAATACGTTTTAACATGTCACGTTAAATTCTATCTCATATACATCAAGTAACATGTCACATTATGAACAATAGTGCATGTTAATGGTAACCATTACATAAAGGTGGTATTAAATGGAGAATATCCAATGCCCACACTTACGCACCATTGGACACGTTATCGTTTTGAAGATGCAAGTACATGGATTATCCCCTATCAACATAGATTCAATGCGTATGAACAATATATAGAGCGTACTCTTACTCGTGAATATGTTGATTTAACATGAAAAATCAAAGTATAAAGTGTATATAAAAAAATCATATTCAAATATAAAATTTAAAAATACATATTTTAAATACTTTATTAATTAATAATATAGAATTAATTAATTTATATAATTATTTGAA